ATTCTCTGAAGCTCTATTTCGGATTCTCTTACCTTGAGTGAAGGACGCATTGTCCTTGGACTCAGTCAAAGTTGTTAATACGCAGACGTGAGCAGCATACAGTGTAACACGCGAGCCAGGTGGGCATAGTGAATGGAGTTCGGGGTCCAGGGGTTATCCAATCATTGGCCAGTCAGCCAGGCCTCATCGGCAGGCTCTGTGCACAACAAAGTGGACCCTTGCTCTGTATTGTCCACTGTCAATCTGTAGTTAAGGGATTTCAGAGGAAACTTTAATACACTAACTGCCCTTAGAAAAAGGAGAAAGAAAAGCAAGACTATGTTTTGGTTTAAAAGAAATAGTGAATCTAAGAAAATGCAATAATGATCAGGGTCCAGGGAGAAGAATGGTTGATTTCTAACAATAACCTAAATCTCCCAGAAGCAAAGTAATACTTAAATCCTGCTCCTTTTCACAGGCCAGTGGGTGGAGATCCGGTGTTTCATGTCACAGCATCTCTGCAGGAGAAGGGAAACAGGCAGAGAGAGCAGAGACAGGGAGGGAGCTGAGCTCATCAGGGATGGCAAAGTCCTCGAGATTACTGAGTTGCTTGATGACAGCTTGACTCTCTGACTTCCTATGTAAAGACAAGTCAGACAGACAGGAGTGAGGATGCAGGAAGTGTTAAAATTGAAGGATGGACGGAACCAGGCAACAGAGGGAGGGCGTGGAAAGAGTGCAGCTATCGTGTGGGGTTTGCAGTCAACGTCACAAAACGAAGCAGGATGAATTTAGGAGTGGAAAACAAATTGGCTCTGTAAACTTACACTCAAACCACATTTTAAAATGTTTTAAAAGAAGAACTTACCTCCCAAACTCCCAGAAATGGTTTCTTTTCTAGTTTTATAGGCTTGGAAAAGAAATGGGACTGTTTTTTTAATGCTTTGCATGTAAACTATGTACTGTTCAAACATATGAACAGTATTCACTTTTTAACATGAGAAAATGGGGTGCAGTAGCACCAAGAACTGGTCTCAGAGGAGTTTCAGGGATCACTTTTGTTGCGAGCACACCCATGGAGCACGAACATATGTACTTGTCCTACTATCAGGGGTGTTAGGGTAGGAGGGTGGGGTATCGCTGCTGGCTTTTTTCTCCTTCATCACAAGAGCCTTTTTTTGGTGCTTTGTTTTTTAAGAGCCTGATGTAAAGGAGTATTGAACATAACATGAGCCACCAACAGAACAAACAGGTTTATTGTGAAGAGGGTGAAACCAAGTTTCTCCTTGGAGGCAGAGATTTTGACGCTCCATCTCACATACTTTGGGCATGTCACCAGAAGGGACCAGTCCTTGGAGAGGGACATCATGCTCAAAAGGATGGAGGGAGAGTGCAGGAGAGGGAGACACAGAATGAGATGGACTGATACAGTAACTGGGGTAATGTGGATAGGTGTGTTGGAGTCAATAAGACTGGCTCAGGACAAGGCAGGCTTCAGAGCTATTATACATAGATTTGCTTTCAGTTTCAGGCCATTGGCACATAACAACAACAACAAACAATGTGGCTATGCACCATAGAGTCAGAACCAACCCATGACAGACCCTCCAGCAGGTATCAGAGGCAATTCATTGTACAGGAGAACATTTCCCATCCATCTCCCGTAGAACTTCTAGTGACTTTGATATTTTGCAGGACAGCTTCTTGCCACTAGGCCACCACCAGAGATTCCAACAACAATGTTAAGGAATTACAATTTGGATAGCATTAAGCAGGACTTCTTTTATATTGTGGTAAATGTAAATTTTTAATAAGTCATTTTCCTTGATCAGTTTTCTCTGAAGAATTTAGGAGACATTTAGTAACACTTCTACTGAGGTTCTGTGATTGTTCAGGATGTTTCAGAGGACAGACGAGCTATGGATGAAATTTTGACCCAGAGGGATTCTAAATTCCTTTCAATCCCAGGAAAGTTTATAATTCTAAATGGAGTAATGGGTCAATAGCTGGGTGACTTAGATACCCATATGACCCGTGACCAAGAGAGGATCTTGTCTGAAATATGGACTTGTGAGAGAGTGCTACATTGAGAGAGAATTACCTCAGTTCATCACTGAACTTTAGATTGACAAGACTGAAATATCTGACCATTATGCTACAAAGTAGTCAACAAGTGATAATGGTTTGGGAAGCAATCAGGCTGTATTGGGATTCAGTGCTGATTTCTGCTATGTGCAGGCGCAAAGCTGTGCACAGAACACAACTTCCCCACCTCTGTTGATGAAGTTTAGTGAAGTTCACCATTTATCCAGCTGACATAGAAGTGTTTACAGGGTCTGACAACAGCATCACAAAAGACAGAGAAACATTGAGCTGCCAGGAAGAAGCATTGTTGTTAGGTGCTGTCAAATCAAGTGTGACTCATAACAACCCTATGAATATGTGAATCTCCCCTATCCCGTGTCATTCTCATTCTGTCTGATACACTAGAACCCAGGGATATAGTCATGTGTCAATCCATCTCATTGAGGGTCTTCCCTTCCTTCATTGACCCTCCACTTTTCCAAAGAGGATGGCTCTCACCCAGAAAGAACTGGGAATGATTTGCCTGATGCTGCTGGAACATTAGGCTTCCAGACACCAAACCCTGCTGTTAGAGCAATTACAACTCATGATAACTCTGTGCATCAGTGTTGAACTTTGCTGTGCCGTGTTCTCAACAGCTACTTTTGTAACTAGATCAGTCAGTCTCCTTTCCTAGGCATCTCTAAGTAGATGTGAACTGCCAACCTTTCAGTTAGAACCTGTTCTTATTGACTGGGGCATTGTTTTCATGATTGTTTGATTGTGTTTTGATGTGGGCTTTTTTTTAATTGTTGATTGTGCACCTACTGTCAAGGATCTTGAAGTTGAGAGCTGAGCTGAGCTGTCAAGTGTTCAAGTTGCCAATTACTCAGAAAGTTAACCATCGAGTCTTTAATCACTTACTGGGCACAAGCGGGAGCCAGGTGGACCAGCAAAGAGGGGGGACCTGTCCTTCTGCCGAGGAAGCCTCGCACAGGAGCCTTGCAATGCTGTAGACCTCAGGACTAAGCTGCAGTGGAAGAAAAGGGCGCAGAATGGAATGTGCAGAACATCAGAGTGAATTGTATTGAGTGAATGTACTGAGTGTCAGAGCAGAAGAGAAACATCTTCAAGTTTCTCCCACTTCCTCCTGAGAAGGGCTCAGGCACCTGAGGGAGGGTCTTTAGAAAGTCTCCTCCTTATGGAGGCAGCTGGACTAAGCTATGTGAAAGAGCATGGCTGGTGGGTGAGCGGGGTGCCAGGTCCTTGACCACAACTCCCTTCAGACACCACCATGCATTTTAGGGAAGGCAGCTTGCCTCAGACCTGCCTGCTGGCTGCAGTCTTTATAACTGCCTATACTCCTGCCTGATCACACCTACGTTTTCTGTTAAGGCTTCCTTGTGATTTCAATCCTTTGCTGAGAATTTGCCTTTCCACACCAGATCTACCAAATTAGAACCTATTGCTTAACAAAATCCCCAGGTTATTTTTATATATAAAAAGGAAACAGTTGGAAACCATGGGTTTTAGCCAAGCACTGTATTTGCTGCCAGGAAGGAAAACTAAGAAGACTGTGAATTTTCCATAGAAAGCCACTTAGTTCTGTGGGCAGATAATCTATGAGAGTGATCCTAAGAAGGGGGTGCCTCATGTCTGTAGAGAAAGGAACCTAGATCTTGGGGGGAAGGGCTAGATGTTTTGCTTGCAGCACCCTGGAAGATCTTCAGGGAAACAAGACAGGCATTATGAACAAGGAGCCCAGCAGGTAAAAAGATGAGGTGACAGGACAGTGGGGGTGCTCAGAGCGCTCTTGGTAATTCAACAACGCTATAGTACACATTACAAGAAAAGTGTATGTCAACAGTCAGAAAGATTTACTAATTTATGTGAGAGTGTGAAATTCATAGGCATCTTGGTGGCACAGTGGTTAAGTGCTAACCAAAAGGTGAGTGGTTCAAACCCACTAACCACTCCCTCTTTGGAATAAAAAAGATGTAGCAGTCTGCTCCTACAATGATTACAGCCCTGGAATCAGCCCTGGATGGATAGTTCTACTCTGATAGCATTACTGTAGCAATCCAGGCCAATGGTTGGCTTTTGTTTCTGGTAAAGTTCAAGAGAGCAAAGAACTTCCTTTGGTTCATTCATGTCTCTCAAGTGTCTAGAACCGGACCTGACTCACAGTGGATGCTTCATAAAGATTTGTGAGTAAATAAGTGAATAAAAAAATAAACGCATACATGATGCATAAACAAATTATAGGTAATCCTGGATCTGAAAATGTTTGAATTCTGTTCCAGCCTCTACCATTTGACCTCAGCCCAAATGATGAACCTTACTTGGCCACTGCTACTAAAAAATTACATTATTTATTCATTCAATGAACATTCATTCAAATACAACTGTGGTCCAGACCACCAGCCAGTGGACCGAAGCCCCGCCTCCTTTAAGGCCCGCCCACACAGAGGTCTGACTTAGGCCCCGCCCCTTTCAGTACAGCCCGCCCCCGTGCAGAAGCCCCGCCTTCGTCGTCCCAGTCATCCAATGGCTAAGGTACACGGTTACGTGAATGCGAGAGTTTTAGGTGTCTTCTTGGCGCCTGACAAGAGGCTTGGAGAATGCTAAGCGACATAAGTAGTGACCTCTGCGAACTGCCCCTGAGATATGGAGAATCACACGCCGCCCTGAGTTCCTTGGGAGATTCATTAAGCCTCCGAAAGCCTCGTCGCTGCTCTCCCAAGCAGTATCTCCGGGTCCTCACTGGACGAGCTTTTCGCCCCGCGGCATTCTGGGAGTGGTAGTTTTCTCCCCTCCGACTTTTCCGAAATAGCCCGGAGAACAAGCCTCATGGGACTACGATTCCCAGAAGCCCAAGCGAGCCTCCGGTTGCGTGTTGGCGGCGGTGGGCGGGCACGCCGTGGCGGGTCAGGCTGGTTGGTGGGCGGGGGCCGGGCGGTGCTCCGCAGCTGTCCGCTGACCTGCAGAGCCCGCGGGCCGTCTCGGCCCCCCGCGACCCCCCGACATGGTGCGCGCGGGCCCCGTGGGCGCGCGCCTTACCTCGTCCGGCTTGGACATATTCGGGGACCTGAGGAAGATGAACAAGCGCCAGGTAGTGGAGCCGGGCGCGGGGTGGAGTGCGAGTTGGGGTGCAGGGGACGCGGGGTGCATGGTGCCTGTCGGAACAGGGCTCCGGGAAGGTGGCTCTGGCCGCGGGGGTCAGGCGGCGGCTCTCGGAGGCCTGGGTTCGGACACGTGCGGGCAGGATGGGGAGGTCTCGCGGATGTCAGATGCGGCTGGCGAGGTGGGCGCGCGTGAGTGACAGCTGTCTGCGCACCTTCCCGCGGCCGCCCCGGGGACAGATTTCCCTGCGGGGCCTGGCGCCCCAGGCAGGCTGCCCGCGGGTGACGGGCCGAGAGGAAAGAACTGGGCGCCCTGGGAGCTGTCCAGTGGTGTGTGTCCATCCTGGTCGCTGTCCCCGCGGCCAGCTGCTGGACTCGGGCTGCTGGTACCTCTCGGCAAGCACACAGGTGGTGCTCCGTGACCGCGGGCCAATGAGGCTTCCTTCCAGAAGAGATCCCTGCGATCTCTTTCCTTTTCGGACCCCACCGGCCTGGAATATGGTTCAGGTGGGATCTTAGGGCAGCGCGAATCGATTCTGTTTTGCTAGAGGACTCCGGAGCGAAACTTCTCGCTGGCCCCTTGCAGCCAGCGCCTGTCTTTGGTCCTTCCTCCTTCAGTCTAAGGCAGGAGTGAGGAGGGCTGGACGGGAAGCCCTCTCAAATAGGGAAAATTAAGTTGCTTGAGTTTAGTTGGAGTATTTAGGAGGGTCTGCTGGCCTACCGATAAGAAGCTGCGCTTCAATCCCAAAAGCGCCAGGTTCCAATCCACCAGCTGCACCGAGGGAGAAAGAAGGGTAGTCTCCTCCTCTGCAATTAACGGCCTCTGAAAACCCTCCTGAGGGTCAGCTGTGTCAGTTCCCACTCGATGGTACTCAACAACAACAGATGGAGAATTTAGGGTGGATAGAGGTCTCAAAAAACTATGATAGAGGCAAATACTGCTACTCTTAATGGTAGTTACTGTTGAGTTCTGACTCATTGTTACCCCTTAGTTCATAGGGTTTGAAAGTTGTGACCTTTTCTAAACCTACCCCCAGGCCTGCCTTCTGAGGTACCTCTGGGTGGATTTGAACCACCAACGTTCTAGATAGGATATTTTGGCTACTTTAATTTGTTTCATTGTATCAAAGAATGGGAAGATGGGTCATGCCTTATGCCTTTGTGCATATGTGGTGTTTTATTGTTTCATTTTAATTCCAAGCCGACTTTTGGATGAGTGCAGAGTGTGGGAGAGTTTAATAACTTGGATTTCATGGATTTTGTTTCCAAATCAGTGTGAATGTGGCTGGTCAACTCCTGTGGATTTCTGTAATTAAAGTGAGCTGTGACAGGTTATTATAAACCTGTTGTCCTTGAATAGCTGTGACTACTCATAGTGACCAGGCAGGACAGAGCAGAACAGCCTCATGGGGTTCCCTGGACTGTAATATTTAGGGAGCAAACTTCCATATCTTTCTCCTGCAGCGTGGCTGGTGGCTTTGAACTGCCGACCTTCTGGTTAACAGCCCAGCACTTAACCACTGTGCTCCCAGGGCTTCTAATAGGTTATTACCAATTTGAAAAACTGTTTGCGTTGCTTCGATGATATTCACAAGACTGTCCCGCAGGAAACGGCTTGATTTTAAAACTAGATTTACTGGCTAAGCTTTTAAAATGAAAAGAGGACCTCAGTAGTGATGCTGACTGTCAGAGGCAGCCTGTTGATGAGTGAATCAATCCCTCTGCCACTTTGACTTTTGAAAGCAGCGTTCCCACCTTCTGTGGTAAGGCCTTTCAGGAGCTGGTTACTGTGCTCATGTTTTCTCATTAAAATTCATGCCTCCTGGTACTTTTAAAAAAGCTTTATCCTTTTGCTTGTCTCTTCTCGTCCCCCTCCCTCCCAGAGAGCATTCTTATGAGACATTGTCAAACAGGATTCCATCACTCGTTTGGAACCTTCTTTCTCTGCTGCCCCTGCTTGTTATGAATCGAGGCAAGAGCCACATGCTAGACAAGCACCCTTTGTTTCTACAATGAAGAAGTAGCACAGCTAGTGGCATTTCTGCTGCTCTGCTCACCAGAGTCTGTTTGAAATGATAGTTTGAAGCCCTCGCATACTATTGCATCTTTGGTTGGTAGTTGCTAAAGTCGGGCTTGCTCTTCCTAAGTGCTGAGTATGCACTGTTGCCAGACAAAACATGACCGACAGCATAAGGCACCAGCCAAGGGTGCTAAGAGTGTGTGTAGATCCACTCCAGACCTGTCAGCAGGTCAGCCACAATCACGCTTCAATTCCAGGGTTTCAAACCTAGACTCAGCTTAGTATATGCCTTCAAGGTGAGGTAAGGGGGTCTTCCAGTCAGCTTGCTTACGGGGTGTTTGTGTGATTGGGAATCTCTTTAACAGACAGATGTGTTGCTCAAAAGGAAGCTCTTTGGGGGCGATTCATTTCACTTCCCCTCAATGAATCCTTCAAGCATAGATATTTGTGTCGGAAGTATATTCTCAGTACAAGGTCTTTATTTGCAAAGCAGCAAGATTTTGTAATCAGCTTTTTTCAAGGTGGAGCCAGATGGCTTGAAATTCTGCCTGAAAATGGTGTGGGGCTTTACTGATCAGATGTGTAATTCATAGTGAGACAGTGGTTCCTTATCTGATCTTTCTGCTCCGGGGAGCAGGTGGGGAAGTTTCTGAATGTGAACTGATGCAGCTTAGAGGACTGATGTTGCTGTAAAGGCAACAGCTTCACAGATCACAGCCAAGACCTTAAGCATGCGGGCCAGGCCCTTCAATTTCTTCTTTTGTTGTCATGGAGATGTGATGATAGCTTTGTAATTTGCTATTGAATAGTAATCAAGTAATTTAAAAAGCAGCTTATGGCTTTAATTCTGAATTATGTTTCATTTCCCATTTTTATTTATCCACCCAAATATCTTAATTATTATCATTTCTTTTTTTATGCCCCCACTTTCACTGGCCTCCTTTACAATTGCCTTCAGTGACAGTTCCCCCAGCCAGGTTATTAGCCAACAGATGACTCCTGTTGCTGTTCTTCCTGCCTCTATCTTATCAGGTATATTCTTGTGTTTTGTCACACTCTTCAGAAGGATCCATTTAATGATTGCAATATTCTGTGGAGTTGGACTTCCTTTTAATCCTGTCCCCCAGAATTTTTTAAAGTAATCCACTCTTATTAAACTTCATAATAGGACGTTTATGGGATGAAGGGTCACAGTCCTTGCTTCTAAGGAGCGCTCTGACTGCACTTTCCTCCAAGACATACCTGTTTGTTGTTTTAGCAGTCCATGGGATCTTTAGTACTCTTCTCCAACACCACAGTAGTTCAAGGGCGGCAGTTCTTCTGTATTCCTTCTTCATTATCCAGCTCTCAGATGCATAGCAAGTGATTGAAAAGACTGTGACCTGGATCAGGCTTACCTTAGTCTTTAAACTGACATCATTGCTCTTCAGTACTTTGGAGAGGTCCCTGAGAGCAGACTTACCCAATAGGTCTTTTGATTTCTTGACTGCTCGTCTCAAGGGAATTGATCATGTATCCAGGTGGGATACAATCATTGACAACCTCAGTCTTTTTTCTACCTACTATGATTTTGCCTACACATGTGAAATCTCTCATGCTTTGGGCATGTTGTTAGGAGACAGCATGTCCTTTGGAAAGGAATCTCATGCCTGAAAGGGTAGACGATTAGTGAAAGAGAGGGAGACCCTCAACAAGAGTGACTGACACAGTGACTGCAGCACTGGAGTCATATGTCAGAGATTGTGAAGATGGCGCAGGATAGGCCAGGGTTCAGGTCTGTTGTTCCCAGGGTCACTATGAATCGTACTCAACTTGATGGCACTTAACAGCAACAACATAGGAATAAAGAATAAGAGAGCTGTTTAAAGAAGAAAATTCTCCCAGTTCTGCTGATAAAGTGTATTGTAAGAGATCTCCTTGTGCGTGCATTATGGTATTGAGAACCTACAATCTCATTTCTCCCTCAGCATACCTTACCATACGTGCTTAGTCAGAGCATTAAAGTTCTTGGTGCCTTGTTTTAAATAGTGGAGTAATATACCCATAACTCAGCTTTCCCTCTATTGTTGCATATTCATTTTTTTCTGTCCTAATTACAATGAAATTATGGTTAATATCATTGGGTCATAGTTCTTCATATGCTTTTAGTTGAAACTGAATTCTAGAAGTGTGATTACTTCAGGTTAATGCAGAATTACTTTCAGAGTGGTTATGGAATCGCTTTCCTTTACTCACACTAAATCCTTATCTGATTTACTGTAACTATCTTTAAATTGGCTAGGCAGAAAATCAAAACATAAAAGGGCCTGGAAGGAAGATTATTGGTGTTATCATTTAAAATATTTATTTACCTGATTTCTTTCTTTTTTGGTTGACTATCATTTTAAGTTTTATCCCTCTTTTGGGGAGCTCTGGTGCCTTAGTGTTGAGAAGCTGCCCTGTAATCCCACCAGCCCCTGTGGGAAGAGGACGGGCATTCTCCTCCTGTGCCGTTTACAGCCTCAGAACCCACTGGAGGGTCAGCTGCCACTCGGTTCCGACTTGATCGCACACAACAACCACAAAAACAGCCCTGATCTGCTTGGGATTTTAGAATCTTTCTTGCTGCGAGTTGGTTTGCACCCAGCATGCATTAGGGACGCGTGTTTTATTCTCACAGCTTTCCTGCCAGCTCTGTCCTTCAACACAGTTTTGTCACAAGCGCGGGGTTGGGGACGGTGCTGCAGCGGCCCTCACGTGTGGCGTGTCCCTTCTCGTTCCAGCTCTATTACCAGGTCCTGAACTTCGCCATGATCGTGTCGTCCGCTCTCATGATCTGGAAAGGCTTGATCGTGCTCACAGGCAGCGAGAGCCCCATTGTCGTCGTGCTGAGGTACGTCCTGCCTCCGCTCCCCAGGGTGAACCATCCAGAATGTTCTTTATTGGTGTCTGCTTTTAATTTTCCCCTGATTTCCAGTGAAGAATCTTGGACTCCTCAGTGCGCATTTTAGAGCTTTACACTGATGCTTCTGCACCCCTAATTGAGCGACCTATTTGCTCCTGTATTTGCGATCATTTTTATCCACTTAACATGACCGTTTACTGTGTGATTATAGGCTGGTGATGCCCTCTGTGTGCACACGTTGCTCCCGGACCCTAACCGACTGTCAGGATCAGTTGATTTTCCTCATGCTGAAGAGTAGGGTGTGGGTCCCAGCACCTAGCGAGGGGCCGGTGTTTCTTCTCCTTCCTTGCAGGCGGTTGGCAATGGCTGCTGTCTTCTCAGGATGGGCATGCCTGTCAAAACACGGCCTGTTTATTTCAGAAAAGTTAGCACTGCAGCTAACTTCCTGCAGCCTTAATATCATCCAAGGGGGAGAGAAATTAATAGGCAATTTGAAATGGAGTGACTGTGTTTGGGAGCCATTAGATGCTATAGGATACCTCTGTCCAGTGGGTTTTATAGCATGGACTCTCACTGTTGGTAGAAATGAAGAGGG